TTTCTTCCAAGTTGATGAAGATATTTTGTTTTTTGAAAGGTGAAAACATATCGTTGTAATTACTTGAGAGCATTTGCGTTCATAGCACGATATCATTTCTAAGACTACCTAAAATTATAATCCTTTAAATAACTACCTTTATAATTTAAATGCTGACTGATTTTTAGAGATCAAATTGGCTCCTTTTCCAGACTGAGGTTAGTGGGAACTAATTGATTTAGTATTTTTATTACTGGTTTATGAAAGCCTAATATCACGACAATTACACTTTCATATGATTGGGAAACTAGTGCTGATGCATTTTTCTCTACAAATTTTCTACTTCAATGAGTTGTATTGCTCTCGCAACTACCCTATGTTTTTTCATTAGATATTTTCTTTCATTTGTAATAAACATACAATACATAGTCGCAATATCCAATTTCAAGGAATATTTGCTAAATGCAAAGATTCCGCACAGCCTACTTTAAGACGTTCTATCAAAACAAAATAAGGTATCTAAATTTGTGAAATGTTACTAACCGAAGATAGAATGGTTTCCAGTTTGCCTCTAGCTTTGGATGACCTGAAAGCACCAATAATGCAAACGGGAGTGGTATCTCCACAAAGAGCATCAAAATTAAATGGAGTAAGTAGAGGTATCTGTTTATCCCCTGTTTCACTGTGTGGCTTTTTAGCCTGACTTGAAGCTACCTTCTTATTTCTTTTCTCAAAACCATCAAGTAAAGCACTAAGATCTTCAACTGCTGATTTTATATCTTTCACAGAAATTCGTGTTTTCAAAGTATGCTTCTCCCCATTAGAAAGCCAACCAACAACAGCTGGAAGTGCATCAACTCCCAACTTTCTCACTGCTGGATCTGAAACATCACGAACCTAGATAGACGTGGAAATAGAAGTCAATAAACCATTTGACACAAACAATAAAAGAAGGGACGATCGAATTCACTACAGATATGAAAATGAACTTAGCAAGAAAAATCAATTATTCCAATGAAGTTTGATTAATCCTTATTATAGAGCTTAATGATAAAATAATTTGGGGAAATTGCAAATCAGTTGTAAAACCAAAAAAACCTGCAAAGTCATGGAAAAGTTTATCACTTCAATTATTAAAATCGGTAAACTTTACCACTGATTTGAAATTTTTTTTGGAAACATGCACTGAAATGCAATTTCCCCAAATAATTTCATGGGCATGCCAGACCACAAGAAGCATTTGATTAACATATGTATGAAAAAATAAAATTGGCCCATGAGCAGATATGGCTTACCTCTGCGTCATAGAAAACAAAACGTTTGCGATACAAGCCACTAAGAACACGCCAAATAACAGGGGTATCTTTCTTTGTTGAGAGAAGCAACACTTTAGGTAATGTCTCTCCAGTCCCAGAAGAGAACTCAAAATGATTCAAGTCAACACGTTTTGAAAACCTTGGGAGATGTTCTTGGCAAAATGTTTTCAAACTTTTCACCGCCAGATCACCATTATACTCTACCAAGGAACCACTGACACTTACTCTGTATGAATAAACAAACACCCTCGGTGTTCTGCGAGGATATACACCCAGATCCTTACAAAAAGACGACTCGGTTTCACAATTTATGCTTCCAACCTATAAGAGGAAAGGCATAGCAATAAATGAATATATACTATATTCAGTAGATACATAATGAAAAGACCATATAAAGGATGCACCATACCTTTAATGCTCCTTCCAATGAGTTAGCTACCTCCTGTATAACAGATTCATAAGACTGAGCCCCCTTCGATGAAGTACAAGATAACAGAAGCCAAGTCATTCCTTTATCAGTTATTTCTTTCTTATAAGTCTGGACATTTACAGCACGGATGCTCTTAGGGGCACTCCTAGACTTGGATTCAGACCTGGTCGAACCACTGAAACTTTCAGACTGACCCCCACCACCCCCAAAGAAGTTGGAAAAAATATCATCTAAACCGAAACCAAATGAGCTATGGCCACCAGAGCCACCAAAAGAAAATGAGAATGATTTTGAACTTCCATGTCCACCACCCATATTTTGCCATTCATTTGGCCTGAAGTTAAACCCATTTTGTCCTGGTCCACTTGTGAAGTATGTATATCCACCCTGGTCACCAGCATTGCCAGCTTCAAACCCAGGATTACCTTTCTCATCCCCATATAGATCATAATTTTTTCTCTTTTCTTCATCAGATAAAATATCATATGCTGAAAAAGGCAAACAAAGGGATACAATTCATCACTAAAAGCAAGAAATAAAAGAGCAAACAGAAAATATCCTCAGGAAGAGAAGTATGCACTGAAGTCCTAATCATCTATTCTCAAATTTTCAAAAATCAAGTCAATTAAACATTTAACTACTCTTAAAACAAAACCTAGGGAAGAAAGGTGACAATAAAACCAGAAGTCTTTTCCACATCCAACAATTTCAAATGCAGCCATGATAGTATTAATACACATAGCGTTCAAGAAAATACAAATAATGCACCATACCATTATTAATCTCAGCAAACTTCTCTTGAGCACCCTTATTTTTGTTCTTGTCGGGATGATATTGGAGAGAGAGCCTACGAAAGAAAAAGGCACAAAGCATGAATTTATGAAATATTATAAATGCAAAGAAACCGAGAGCTATTCAAAACAGCATCTGAGGAGCAAAGTTCCTACTATTACAAAGTGGAAAAAGAAAGAAAGAGGAAAAAAAAGGCAAACATATCATCTCACATCAGAAATAGGATTAAAATGATAGGATTAGGCAATCTTGCTGACTGATAATAGGATCAGGCCTGAAAAAAATTTCTTATCTATATTTCAAGCCAGTGCTAATACTGAAAATTAAAATACTTCCTCACAACGCTTGCTACTATTAGTGTAAAATCAAATCTAAATAATTTCTCCATTTACAATATATGTCTAGATAGTAACATACATTTCTGGGTTTAAATATGATCTATTTGACCAGTGTCGAGTTTGCTACAACTTGGGTAGAGCATATTTTCAAAGCTGAACCCAGCCATCGCACTGACCATTGTGCTCAAAGCTAGACCTTCGAGATTAAGACTAAGGATAGACCAGCATGAGGTTGAACAATCCAATGTCAAGTTGACCACAGCACAGCCATCCAAGCCAACATTTTTACTTATATGTTTAAAAAAATCAGTTCCAAAACATGAGACAATAAATTGATGATTTTGCTTAAAAAGAATGTCAATCAATGTGAAGAAGAAAATGAGAAACGATGTTACAAAACCATAATATGATTAAAGGCTAAGTATTATAGGATAACAGGAATAATCTTATAGAGAAAACATACTTGTGAAAAGCTTTTTGAATTTCACGTTGACTTGCATTCCGTTCAACCCCAAGAACCTGAAACAACATAGTCAATAGAAATTAATGAAGAAGCCAACAAAATTAGCCCCCCAAAAAAGACACTGAGGGAAAGAACCTAATTTTATCAACCATTTTAACGAAACACTCAATATTAAATCCCTACTTAGACAATGTAGATTATTCATTATAAAACAAAGATTTCACTTCAACTTTTGAGCAATCAATTCAAGTATGAGATAGAGATGATTTTATCCACCACACTGACATTCCCAGCACCACAGTAAAGATTACTAAACAAAATCTAAGATACCCATTCTGGGACAACTTGGCTGAATACAATCCAAAGGTTTACTTCAGGTTTTTGCATTTTAGGCTATCTGAAAATCTCAAGAATCATGACACACATGCAAAGCTAAAAGTCATCTTCTTCTTTTTTGGTAACAGGGGTACCTACGGTTTTTCCCGACCAATCTCCGGGTACATGCTTCCCATCCCACACATATGTACTAATTACCGGAAACAGATGCTGGAGAGGCACAAACAGGTTCATGGGATTCAAAATCATTGTGACTTATGCTTTCTCGGGCTCTTATCATGGCTCAATTTGCCAATTGGCTAATCCCCTGTGTTTAAAGTCAACCTTCTATTCGTCTATTTACCCACTACATGTAAACAATCTGATAATTCTTTTCTCGTTAATTGATATCCATTTCAAATTGTCTTCACTACAATCTTTTTTCTTTCACAAGAACTAGCCAGAATTTGTGAATTATGAACAACTTTCTCGATCAATCCCACAATAAGCTTATCATCCAACACCAACATATAAAAAATAAAAAAATTAAACCGTTCTTCGGAAACAAAATACTGAATTATAAAACAATTGCCATATATCGCTGGACCAGTCACAAAAATTTTTTACATCACAAAATCATTCGTCAATTCAATTAGAACAACAGATTAGATGAAGCGAAACACACACACATACACGTAAATATACAAAAACACGAAATATATATATAGGCGTACCTTGTAGGGGTCGAGGGTTTTTGCTTGTAGGGTTAAAATCAAGAGCGAAGCGAAGAAGATGACAGAGAAAGTTGAAGGAATCTTCATTTTGTGAGCTGAATCGTGAGAATAGAGAGGTTTCGATGTGTGATTTGTCTGTGTAATAGTATGTGAGAGTGTGATCGTTTGAGAAGCAGCGAAGAGGGAAGAGAATTGAAAGGGGGTGTTGAGGTTAATAGATTTCGCGGGGTCGACAAAACTCCAGAAGCTTCGGCTCTAAGGTAAGCCGTACACGTGGCGATTCGAGACGCTTCCACGAGGATTAACCAATAGGATTTTAGAATTCTTGTTATAATAGTAGGAACTTTTTTTTTTAAATAAATAAAAATAAATAATTTTTGACAAGATAAAATTATGGAAGATTTTTTTTAAGGTCCCTAATAATAACAATTTAGAGGATGAAGGACACCCAAAAAGATAGTGTTGTATCACGTCCCTGAAACAACTTGGCGCGCGTTTTTAATTATTTTCTGGACCAAAATACCCTTGCCAAAATCAACATAGAAACAAACTCATTCCGACGTCTCAATTACATTCCAAACATCCAGCATCTTCACGAACAGGAGAACAACAGAATTAGGGTTTCAACATCATCTGCACCATCGACATTAGAGCTTCGTTATCTTTTCCAAAAATCATTCGCATTCCTTCCTCACAAATTTCTCTGACCTAGGTTAAAGCTTCGTTTTCACTGCTCACCATCATCTCAGTCCATCTTCGTCACGTCGCATCTTCATCTCGGGCCATATCAGCTCGTCATTCAAGTATCATCCTAACTCTTGTCAGTTTTTCTACAATACAACTAGATTTTCTCTGGAAACACAGTTAATAGCATTTTATAATAACCTTCCATAAATTAGGGTTTCAATTTCGTAATAAAAAGCTACCTGAATTTGGAAAAAGTTATTTCTGTGTATTTTGAACTTATTCTTCAACATGTTTGTGTGATTTTATCTGTAAATTTCTCTGGCATTCGAATTTCTCTGATTTTTGTTTGATGTATGTTTCTTCTTTCAATTTTCTCTGGCATGTTTATTTTCACAAAAATAATTTTTTGTGTTTTTATCTTATTCTTGAACATGTTTCTGTAATTTTGTCTATAAATTTTCCTGCTCTGTAAAATTCTCTGTAATATGTATTTTTAATTGGAATGTCTATCTTAATCTAGAATGTCTATTGCTTTCTTGCCTGTCTTAAGTTTCTCTGGTATTTATAATTTTCTCTAACCACATCACATCACTTTCCTCCCTTGTGTGTCTTTGTCATTTTTAATTTTCTCTGAAATTTTAATATTATGGACTGGAATGAATGTTTCTTATTTGAATTTTCTCTGCCATGTGTACTTTGAGAAAAAGTTATTTCTCTGAATTTTGATCTTATTCTTGAACATGTTTCTGTGATCTTGTCTATAAATTTCTCTGCTTTGTAAATTTCTCCGGAATATGTATTTTTCTCTGCAATGTCTATTACACTCTTGCCTCTGTCTAAGTTTCTTTGGTATTTTTAATTTTCTCTGACCACATCGCACCACTTTCCTCCCTTGAGTGTCTCTATCATGGTTAATTTTCTCTGGTTGTGTATGTAAATTTCTCTTGCATTTTAATATTATGAATTGAAATTTTCTCTGGAATGGAAATTTCCTCAAGAATGTGTAATTTTCTCCAGAATGTGCATTTTTCTCTGGTATGTTTATTTTGTTCAATTCTTGATTTCAATATGGTGTAATTCTCAGTGGCATGTATACATTACTTTGTTTATTTTATCTTTGCTAATTGTGGAGTGGAAATTTTCTTTCGCTTGCCATATTTACTTTTTTCTATCATTCATTTTCTCTGGTATGTTTACTTCTATATGTAATTTAAACAATTATTGAAAATTTCTCTCCCATGTTTATGATGCTGTGTTGATCTTCTCTGACATTTAATTTTTAATGTCCAATTTTCTCCGGCATGTCAAATTTTCTCTAGCATGTCCAATTTTCTGTAATTTTCCCTTATCTGTAATTTTCTCTACCATCTCCAATTTTCTCTTTTCTATAATTTTCTCCCTTATCTGTAATTTTCTCTGACATGTTCAATTTTCTCTGGGATTTAATGTTGACATCTTTATGTTTTAATCATTGTCTAGAAATGGCAAAACGTAAAAGCAGCGAAACACCGGAAACACCAAACAAAAAACAGAAACTCTCTCAGTCTTCTTATGGATTAGGATCAAAAACCAGTAGCAAAACACTAGAAACACCAAGCAAGAAAGAACAACTCTCTCAGTCCTCTTATCATCTAAGATAAAAAACCAGCACTAAAACACCACAAACTCCTTCCCAAAACACACAAGTCCAAGCTGATGAAGCAACTAGCATCCAGATGAGTACCCCAACTTCAAAAGACTCAAGCTCAAGGGGGAAAAAACCTGTTAAACTCCACAGAAAGAGAGCTCACTACAGCATTCAATTCCGATCCAACCTCTCATCTATCGTCTCCTTCTTTCAAACACTTAAATTCAGTTCAAAACATCTTCTAGAGCTTCAAAAGACCCCATTCTGGTATTTGATCCAAGCTGTAACCACTAGAAGGATGGATCCAAAGAAATCTAGGAAATCCGATGATGACGTAGTTGCCATAATCCAATGTTACAATGAAAAAACAAAAGCATTCACAGTTGGGAAGAAGAACCTGACCTTTACAACAAATGGCATGACCTTGATTTGTGGTTTGGAAGGAGGTAAAGGAGCCATGTCATTAAGATACTCTAAAAAGCCAAAATTTGCATTCCTCAGGAGAAGATTCCAAAAGGACACAAGGTTTCATAATTTTCTCTAACCCATCAAATTTTATCTCCTTGTGTGTAATTTTCTCTGCCCATAACTTATGTGCCTTGCATCTTTGATTAACACTGTTTATTTCTACCATTCTAATGAATTTTCACTGGAATTCAAATTTCTCTGACACAATTATAGTAAAACATGAACTTATATGCCTTGATTGATTTTCTCTGATATCTAAATTATGTTGCTTGTTTCATAATTTTCTCTGCCCCATAAAATTAACTCCATGTCTCTAATTTTGTCTGGCCCATACAATTTTTTCTGAAGTTTGTTTCCCATTAGTATCATTTAGATGAATTTTATTTTCCTTATTTGAATTTTTTCTCTCAGTGAATTTTGTAACATTTCTGTAATAAAAGAGTCTCCTGTTACAGATTGATAACAAGCAGCTAGTCAAAAACCCATCAGAGGAGTTCTGTCTTGGCAAAAAGACGAATAAAGAATTAAAAAAGGCAATTGTCATATTCAAGGAGACATTACAAGATCCATCTGAACATGGAGGGAATGAACAAGCAGAAGGCAACACAGAAGAATATGAAGCCAGCAATGGACAAGAACATCAAGCAAGCAGCACAGAAGAACAAACCAGTGAAGAAAGTAAAGATATAGAACCAGAAGACAAAGAACAAAAAGAACAAAAAGAAGAAGACAGTGAACAAGAAGATGAAGAAGAAGATGAACAACAAGAAGAGAACAAGGATGAAAGTAATGAAGAAGAAAATAATGAGCCGATGGACCAACAACATGATGGCATTTGTGGCTCAACAATGCATCAGCCTGAAGAATTTGAGGAATCAAAGGATGCCCAAATTGCTGATTTACGTTTAAGACTGAAGGCACTGTCTCAATCTAGAAAAGAAGAAGACAGAAATTGGATTGAATTACTTGCTGAAAAGGATATTTCAATAAGAATCCTGACATCACATAACTCAGAACTTCAAGAAAAAGAAAGCACACTCCGAATGCAACTAATGATGTTGGAGGTTGAAAAAGCAGACGATACAAAAACAATTCAACAGTTGAGGTGTTCAAATTCGGAGCTTGAAACTGAAAATGCTAAATTGCATGAACAAGTTCAAGAACTATCCGTCCAACTAGCAACACAACCATACCGAACACCAACACAACTTCAACCACAAGGTCAGTGAAAATCTTGAGCCACAAAAAGTTATGTCCTTGTGCCATCATAACTCAGAGAAATTTCTATTTATTATAATTTTCTCTGTCATTGGTAATTTTCTCTGGAAGTTATATCTCTCTCAACACATTAGTTATATTTCTACTGCTCATTTCATTTCTCTGTATATTTTCTTATTCCATTTTTGGGACTTGTTTGATTTTCCCTGTGTATAGTTGAAATGCAAGTGGAACAACAACCAACAACCCAACAACAACAAATGCCACACAAACAACAACCGAAACAACAGAAGAAACTCTCTGGTAACTGCAAAATATTGAATTAAATAAATTTACATATTGAAATATCATCTGTTGCTTCAGAGAAATTTCACTTTTCCTAATATTTTCACTTTCTACAGTCAAAAAAGATCCGACATCAATGATAAAAAATTTAAAGGCAAAAAAAAGGAAGGAAAAGCAGCATGATCCAGAATTCCAATATCCCAAAGTTGCGAAAGTGACTAGAGCTTCAAAACAAGCTGCAAAGTAAGTTGAGCAAAGCACGAAGGACAAAGAAGTGCTTGATGCTGATGCGTACATCTTGCCTCAACCTATAAACATCAGAAAATCTTGGGTCTTTCCACAAACTCTTCAAATTTCAAGATTGATAAAAGATCATATAAAAGACATCTTGCAGCACATATCAAATGTGTCTGGGCTTGAGTAAGTACAACAAACAAAATAGAACATAACAAACAACAAATTACAAACTTATGTTGCATTAACAACAATTCAATCTCTTCTTTGTCATCTTGTAGAGCTTTAATTTGGACAAGTGAGTTGAATCTCATTACCTTTGAAGACATTGGAAACCTAATAAAGTAAAAAGAAATTGCCAACAATGTAAGTCTTTCCCTTTCATCAAAATTTCTTTGCAATGTTCCATCAGCCTTTATAAAACAATATTACAATTATAAATCATATTTTTCAGGTCATTGATGGCTATAGAGAGATCCTTTTGGCTGACCAAATGAGAGAGAGACAACAACCAACCTCATTTTTCTTCACATCCATGTGCTTAGTATGTTACTACTATTTTATTTGATTTTCTCTGGAATTTACTTTCTACTTTCTCTTCTTAATATACTTCTTGAAGTCAGTTGTGTGACTAGTCATAACAAAACCATTTTTTGATTTTCTCTGAGCACAGAATTT